GCCATCAATTCTGAGTAATATTGTCAAAAATTAAGCAAAGCAGGAAAACATTTTTTTAGATAAAGAAAGGATCAACTTAAATCAAGTGTTGCCAAAAGGAATGGTGAAATTGGAAAAAAACAAAATTTAATGAATTGGACTGGGAATTTCTATCCTTCCTATAGAAGGAACCAATTATAGAAATAAAATTGATGAATAGCCTTTAAAACCAAACAAAACTACCGAAATGATGTTTTTTGATGAAGACGAAAAATGCTGATATTTGTGGCTGACAAATAAAAAAATCTCATGAATTAAATAAATGAAGAAAGTAATTTAGCTTAGTCAAACTGCCAACTAATATTGAAATGTATTGAATATGAAGTTATTTTTTAAAATATTTAAACAGGTCTCATGAATACCAGTAGATCTTATAGAAGAGCTGAATTCTTTAATCGTGGCAGCGCAGAGTAGTGGTAAAAATGTAGATATTATACACTGCACTATCCGGAGTCCGGCTGGAGATGCTGAGGCCCAGATGAGGCCGAAATTGCAGTCCAGTCCAGCCAAGATGAGAACAACTTTTGGAAGGCAAGGCCATGTGAAATTGAATTGAAACGTAAGGCCTGCTCATATCATTGTAGGAAAATTTAACTAACACTCCTTCATAGCCGCTCTCATGAAATAAAAATAGCCTAAGATTTGATCAAATTTTCCCAGATAAGGATTGTCAAGTGTATTAATTGGTGCTTGGACTATGCCTAAGAGCCAGTATTTCAGTTGAGATCATGTCTGCAGGCTTCGAATCCCGCTGAGAGTATTCGTAAAGCTATAATTCCCAGATATATGAATGATCGAAAACAGGTGAGATTACTTAAGTAATGCATACAACATACCCCTTGCCGAATCTAGTGATTTCGATCTCTCTTCCAGCTGAGATTTGTGGTGGAACTGTGCACAGCCAAGCCTGCTTGGTTCCATTGGCAGGATTTGTCGTCTCCACATGGGTATCGATGCTAGCCAAGCAGTCCGGGATGTTTGATGACTTAGAAATGTCCGGCAAATGGTTTGCTGCGAGTCCATGTAGCAATGAGGGACGAAGACGGGGATGAGTGTCTTTGTAGGATGCTACGAAAACTGAAGTAGATGTGGGCGAAGAGAAAAAACTGTCAATAATACCGCTAGGTTGTATCGGCATTGTTATCGCCTCGGGGGGAGCATCGGTGGGCGCTGGGTGAGAAGGAGAGTGAGCTATCTGGCCAAAAGTGGAGAGAACTGTGAGAGGAGCTGTTTCGTTGAACGATCTCTGGATAAGTGGACTCGTTGGAGAGAAAGCACGGGATACAGCAGTTTCGATGAGTAAGCAGTTAGAACTAGATGTTGGGAGGGACTGTAATTGTGACGAAGATGAAGGGGAGAGGAAAGACTCGGGAACATACCGAACGTTTAGAGGAGAGGGACCCTCTGGAGAAGAGGAAAAAACCCCCTTGGTATGGAAAATAGGAGAACCTGATGGGGTGGTCGTTATGACGGAAGGATTTAAGGAAGATGGAGAGTTGAAATAACCAGGATGCGAAGAGGAGGTAGAGAAGCACTGAGTTGAAAAAGTCGAGAGACGATTGAGGCTTTGAGATGTAGGACACGGCTCAGGTGGACGAACTGGGTCATTGAGCACCTATAGCAAGTGATAAGAGGAAAAATTAGTATACCGGCCGACTTGACGATAAGAAAGAAATTAGTTGAGGCACAAGCAATTCGAAGATTTAAGTAAAGCGTTAGTAAAATAAATGGCGGACAAAAGGCAAATAAATAAACCATATTAGAAAGGGTATGGGAGGAAAGTAAAACACAAGAAGCAAGTATAAACATGCACAGGGTCGGTTGACATGTATATATATATATATATATATATATGCATGCATGTATGATTGATAATATGAATGTAAGTATAATTTGCAGTTTGAAGTCGTGGGTATGAGCAACATGAAAATGCATAAAGGCTAGACCAATTATGGTAAACAGATTAAGGGATAATAGCAAGACTCTACGAAAAAAGCGACCTGAAATATGCTTTGCGTGCAAGTCAAGGCTTCGGAAAGTATTCAGCGAGCCAATTGTGACCATAGGGGTCTTAATGAAAGAAGTGGCTTCAAACAAAGTGTATAACAAATGCTTCCTTATTTGGCACTCAAACAACTAAAAGAATGTTCAAAAAAGTGGTTTTCCTAAACTCAGTCATCAAATGTACAGTGTTTTAGACGGAGAAAATGGAAAAGTGGATAAAGAATGATCATAATACAGCTTGGAGTTAAGGTAGGAGAAATCTTATTTAGGAAAGGTATACTTGCAAACAAAGCAACTCTGAAAGATATATATAAAAAAACCATAGTGAATTTTTGTGAATATCATCAGCACAAGATTTATCAAATGTGGCATCTAAATAGGAGAGCTCAATAAAATTTAACGCATGCTAGACAAGAGGTCATCTCTCAAATCCAAGGCAAAATTAAAGAAGAGACGAATAGCTCAGGATAAAAATATATTCAAGATATAGTCTAAGTAAAGACATAAATCAAATTATCTAGTAAATTAAGCTTCAAGGAGATTAAGGGGTTTTTAAATTAAATGAAAATATAACTCATAAATGTTATAAAGAGGGTAAATATTGACTGGCATGCAAAATTAGCGCGATATCAAGCCTGGTGAAAAAATAGTTGCAATGTGTCGTAAATCAAAATACAAAGCGATTAAAGCAACGATGAGATGCTATGGCTCCAAGCGCATGTAGTCTGGCCAAAAATGCACAAGGATGGAGTGCCACTTAAAATTATTGTGAATAATAAGGGAAGCGCGATGCATAAATCATCACCAGTTGAAGCTAATCTCCGAGACATGGAAGGTTATAGTCAATAATTCGAATGAATTTGTTAACTTAGTTGACGAGTAGGAGATAGAAATTAGAGATTTGCTGTTAAGTTTTGATTTTGAGTCTATGTACAAAAGCATTCCTGTAGACGATGCCATACAGGCCCGGCAATCCACCCTAGACCAACATGCGGAGATTTAAGGGAGTACGAAGTTAAGTAGTGTCAAAAAGGATACTGAACAACCTGGCGATGCACTGTACATATTTCGCATTTAATGGTCAACTGTACGAACAAACACGAAGTTTAGATATGGGATCGTGTTTGCCACCATTTTAGCAAATAATTACATGACTCAATTTGAGGAACGCTTAACTCAGGAGGCCCTTTTAGTCCCTAAATTATTAATTCGCTATATGGACGAATAATTTGCTATTTGGAAACTTGGCAAGGGAACGCTGAAGAATCTTCTTGGTTTGATTAACAGGATCT